ACTGGGGGGAGGAAAAGGCAATCAACACAATGATAAGGCAACCTACTGAATGAAAGAAAATAAGTGCAAATCATGTAACTCATAAAAGGTTAATATCCAAAATATATAAAGAACTCATACAACTCAGTAGCACCCCCTCCAAAAAAAAAAGTCTGCTTAAAAAATGGGCAGAGGATCAGAACATTTTTCCAAAGACGACATACAGATGACCAACAGGTACATGAAAAGATGCTCAACGTGACTAATCATCAGGAAAATGCAAATCAAAACCACAGTGAGATGTCACCTCATACTTGTTGGAATGGCTATTATCAAAAGGACAAGAAATGACAACTGATGGAGAGGATGTGGAAAAAGGGAGTCCTTGTGCACTGTTGGTGGGAATATAAATTTGTACAGCTATTGTGGAAAACACTATGGAGATTCCTGCAAAAAATGGAAAATAGAGCTACCATATGGCCCAGGAATTTCACCTCTGGGTATTTATCTGAAGGAAATGAAATCACTATCTTGAAGAGGTATCTGCACCCCATGTTCACTACAGCATTGTTCACAATAGCCAAGACATGGAAACAACCTAAGTTGTTTAAAAGGGAAAAAATTAAACAAGCACTATTTCTTTACAAACTACAACAGTCAAGCAAAGGTTTAAAAAAAAGACTGTTAATGGTCAGGATTACAGTGCACTTAATCGTACACTTAAATCATATTACTTAGAGTGATGCAAAAGCACATAATCTATTACTGTGGATCCACAGTTGTTAGCATTAGGAGTCAGGAGAAAAAAAGAGCAACAGCCATAATGAAGGCAGATGAGCTACGTCATATCTATTTCACACTAGAAATTGAAAGCTATTGCTTTCAGCTTATTTGTTTAAGCCCGCCTCATGGGTTCTGTACTTTCCTTTCAACCTTCCATACCCACAACTGAAGAGCAGGAATTTTTACATCCTGGGACACTGGATTTTCAGTCCTAAAATCAGGACAGCTCCAGGCAACCTAAAACGGCTGGTCACTCTGAATCAATACAGTCTTTTTCCACCCTCCTCAAAACTTCTCAGCTGTACTTATCCTTGATCTTTCTTAACTGAATTTGTCCTCTCAACCACAGTCTTGACCCCCAGCCCTTGACCTCAGCAATCTTTCCCTCGACTCCTCCTTAATCTCAACCTCTCAACCCTTGTAACAGCTGTCAGCCTCAACCAATCTTACCTTCTCAATTCCTCTCAAATTTAATCCACCTTACCCTCTCAACCTTATTTGAACTCAACCTCACCTAAACACTGACTCTTGACTTCACCTGAGTCTGACTTCTCAACATCAACCAACCTGGACATCTCAGCCTCAGTAGGTCTTGTTCTCTGATCCTTCTCACCTCAACTCTGTCCTCTCAGCCTCCTTCCATAGACCTTGACCAATCTCATCCTCTTAATTTCAATCAGCCTCATTTCTCCCACCTTTGTTCTCTTTACTTCGACCCCCTCGTCTAGACCTCTTCTGTTATTGCAATCTCCCTCACTCTCTCTTGCTACGAAAGTTTACCCAGTCCTCAAAAGCACAGCCTCAAGTCATCTGATGTTTATTCAGATTTTAATATTATATCACTATCAATTTGCTGCTAAAAATTTTTCTGGAACGCGTTCATTTCTATCTTCATTGCAAATGTTTTATTTCAGATTCCATTATTGTTCATCTATACTCTACTGCCAAAGTGTCTTAACAGGTCTCTGCATCTCCACTTGAAACAATCTCCTCCCTCCTATCTTGCTCCCCCAATCTCCTCTCTACGTTAGCCACTCTATGTTACATAATACTAATCATTTCCATCATTTAGCTAACTCTTACTCATTCTTAACCTTAATTCAAAGGTTGATACCTCTAGCAGACCTTCTCTGATACCCCTTTCCCAAGTCTAAACCGTATGCTTCTCCTTGAAGTTCTAGTAATGTTTTATGCAGAGTTCTAATACAGCATTTCACTGGGCATTGTTATATTGTATGTTTGGGTACATTTTTATATTAGATGTCTCCCAGCCTTGATGATGCTATAAACTTTATAAGAACCAGTTTCTTGAATCTTTATCTGTAGGATCTAACATATGATAAACACATGACAAATATTCAATTATTTTTCAAATATGTACATGCCATCCCATTTCTAAAAGTCAGATTATTATAACTTTCATCTTAAAGCAAAAGGGAAAAAATTCCATAATAAAATAATTGGAATGCTAACAGAAACTTTAAAACTCAGTTATAATTGCTCTACTCCCTCATAGAAAGTATATATTCCTTTTAAATTTACTATTTTTTCTAATACCTACTGTCTTTAAGACTAGCTAGGGCTTCCCTGGTGGTGCAGTGGTTGGGGGTCCGCCTGCCGGTGCAGGGGACGCGGGTTCGTGCCCCGGTCCAGGGAGATCTCACATGCCACGGGGCGGCTGGGCGCATGAGCCATGGCCGCTGGGCCTTTGCGTCCAGAGCCTGTGCTCCACGGCGGGAGGGGCCGCAGCGTTGAGAGGCCCGCGTACCGCAAAAAATAATAATAATAAAAAGACTAGCTAGCCTTGGTATTTCTCTTAAACCATAAAATTAACTGAAAAAATTGAATAGGCCTTTAATACTCTCCCACCAACGTTACTGAGGTCTGCTAATGAAATACACCTGACCCTTGAAAACACGAGTTTGAACCTCGAGGGTCCACTTATACAAGGATTTTCCTCAATAAATAACAGTTGGCCCGCCATGCCATATCTGCGAGTTCTGCATCCGTGGATTCAACCAACTGCAGATCGTGTAGTACTGTAGTATTTATTGAAAAAAATCTGGGTATCAGTGGACCAGCACAGTTCAAACCCCTGTTGTTCAAGGGTCACCTGTACTCAGGAAAAAACCCTCAAATATCAGATGTGTGCCACAAACAAAAGCTACATACTTCTGAGTGAATTAACCAGAATTGTTCTGTAACAACAGACCTGAATTTGACAGTAATTGTGTAATCATAGAGGTGGGAATCCTAGTTCTAGCCCTAAATAGCCACATGACCTTAAGCAAGTTACTTAAGCTCTCTGAGACTCAGATTCCTCACCTGTAAAAATAAAGACAGTAATATATCTACCCAGGAACCACTATAGTCCTACCACAAATGCATACGTGTTAAAAGGATCGCTATGAAAAGATAGGTATCGCTATAATGAAAGATAATTTTCCTTTCTTTTAGTATTAGTTACTAAAGATACACATCAATATAACTTATAATTTACTGGTATTAATACAAAATAGCTAATTTACAATTAGAATAATAAAATGGAGTGAAATTATTGTCCCCTGTTCTTTAGTCCCTTCTAGATCCTAAAAATGGCTACACCAGAGCATATTTTATGGGAAAAAGCTAACAGAACTGCCAAGTTTCTAGTGAGTGAGGAGAAAGATAACTAAATTCTTTACATTTCATGATTCACTTCCATGTGATCATTAATGTTATCTTAAAGAGTAAGAAAGAGCCCAAAGATCATATATCAGCCTTGAAAAGCAAGATAAAACTCAGACTGCTTAGTTGAGTATACATGATATCATCTCACACCTGTCAGGATGGCTACCATCAAAAGAACACAACAAATTGTTGGTGAGGATGTGGAGAAAAGGGAACCCTCCTACACGGTTGGTGGGAATGTAAATTGGTGCAGCCACTGTGGAAAACAGTATGGAGGGTTCTCAAAAAACTAAAAATAGAACTACAATATGACCCCAAAATTCCACTCCTGTGTATATATCAAAAAAAAAAAAAACAACACACTGATTCAAAAAGATACATGCACCCCAATGTTCATAGCAGCATCACTTACAGTTGCCAAGATATGGGAGCAACCTAAGTGTCCATCAACAGATGAATGGATAAAGAAGATGTGTGTCAGACCTACTAGAGCATGGACTTGAGGATCTGGGGAGGGGGAAGGGTAAGCTGTGACAAAGTGAGAGAGTGGCATGGACATATATACACTACCAAACGTAAAATAGATAGCTAGTGGGAAGCAGCCGCATAGCACAGGGAGATCAGCTCGGTGCTTTGTGACCACCTAGAGGGGTGGGATAGGGAGGGTGAGAGGGAGACGCAAGAGGGAGGAGATATGGGGATATGCGTATATGTATAGCTGATTCACTTTGTTATACAGCAGAAACTAACACGCCATTGTAAAGCAATTATACTCCAATAAAGATCTTAAAAAAAAAACATAATTTGCAAAAAAGAAAAAAGATGTGTGTGTGTCTGTGTGTGTGTATATATATATATACACACACACATGTATGTTTTTCATAGCCATAAAAAAAAGAATGAAATTTTGCCATTTGCAGCAACATGGATGGACTTGGAGGGCATTATGCTAAGTGAAATAAATCAGAGAAAGATAAATACTGTATGATAACGTATATGTGGATTCTAAAAAATATCACAAACTAGTGAATACAACAAAAAAGGAAGCAGACGCACAGATATAAAAAACAAACTAGAGGTTACCAGTGGGGAGGGGGGAGGTGCAACAGGGGTGAAGGCATGGGCAGTACACACTGTTGGGTGTAAGACAGGCTCAAGGATATAATGTGCGACATAGGGAATATAGCCAATATTTTGTAATAACTGTAAATGGAAAGTAACCTTTAGAAATTGTATAAAAAAATTTTTTTAAAGAGTCCAAAGATCATATATCAGTCTTTTTTTTTAAATAGCTGTTTGTATTATTTTTATTATATTTAGTTAGTTAGTTATTTTATTTTTTGGCATCACCATGCAGCATGTGGGATCTTAGTTCCCTGACCAGGGATCAAACCCATGCCCCCTGCATTGGAAGAGCAGAGTCTTAACCACTGCACCGCCAGGGAAGTCCCCATATATCAGTCATAAAAAGCAAGATAAAACTCAAGACAGCTTAGTTTACTGAATATTCGTGTCTCATAAACCAGAACATACATGTACACATGTCACACACCAATGACAGTTCTTACTTTAATCTTTACAGCATCATAACGGATTTGTGAAAACTCACGAAGACCAAAAGAACCTCCAACAATCAGCAACTGAAACAAGACAGGGAAACGATTAAACAAAATAGAAGGGCAGAATTCAGTCTATCTATACATTACTTATCTGAACACCAACAGTGGCAGATTATACAAAATCTTATAGATTATTTTCCCTGGTGAGTTACCATTCATCTTCTCAGAGTAGATATAGTACACACTATCACTGGGAAACATTTTAGCACATGAGCAAATACCAAAATCATTACCCCCACCTGTACTTGACCTTATTTAAATATCACCATCAGAAGCGTTATATTAGTTGATTCTTACAAAAGACCTATGAGCTAGGGGAAAAAAAATACACTTAATAGATGAGGAAATAAAAGCACAGCGAACTAAATGACTTGCCCGTGATTGTAATGGGTAAATCCAGTAATAAAATCCTGGCCTTGCTTCTTCAAGACTAGAATTCTTTCAATTTTATGATTTTGCAAAATAGGCCAATTAGAGAGCATTTTTCTCCATTTTCTAACTAAGTGATAAAACAATCTCATGAAATGTGTTACCCTTCTCAGTATGCGGTACACCTTAAAAGAGCCCATGAATCGCCATTGCTGCTTTAGCATCTCCTCCGATAATCTAATGGGCTTCACTCTCATCCTCAAGCTGTAAGTTTAGCAATTTGGAAAAAAATTAAGTTTGATCCCTACCATCAATATATTAATATTACCAATTAAAGTAATACAAACAGATAAAAACACTGTAAAATATAAAATTCTATAATTTTGAAGTTGGAATACCAACAAAACCTTGAGGCTATGAATTTAAAAACCCAATAAATCTGACCACATAAAAATTTAGTCTCCTATCTGCAAATAAATAAAACAAAAATGACATCAAATCAAAAGACAAGAAACCAGGAAAAATATCTGTTATATATAACCAGCTAATACTTCCAATGTCAATATGTAATCATTCTTTGTATAAGTAAAGTAACTTTTTTGTCTCTTGGTTTCAATGAAAATGAGACACGCTGGGACCTGGGACCTGGGACCCTTTGCTGCAGTGCTTGCACCTGGACAAACTTCTCCTCCAGCAACAAAATGCAAAGAAAGTATAAGGGACTAAAAATTACTGCAAGCATGCACAGTTGGGACAAATTATGCACAACAAGATACAAAAAGACCAAAAACCCAACTGCCACTTCTGAAGAGCCGGGAGCAAAAACACAGTGTCAGGAGTAAAAGCAGGGTACTGCACGTGCCCCCTTACACTCAACACTACAAAGGGGTGGGCAGACCACCTAAG